TTTCCTCGCTTGCTCACGCCGCTGTTTCTCTCCCTCTTGCAGCCTGCAGCCTGGCGCCCGCAACGCGGGAAGTGAAGGTGGCTTGTTCAGAGGATGTGGACTTGCCATGTACCGCACCCCGGAACCCGCGAGTCTCCTACACGGTCTCCTGGGCCAAGGTAAGCGAGCTGGGGTTTGGTCGGCTCAATTAGAGGCAGCGGGAATCGCCTGACTTCGGCTGGCGACCTTATGTGGCGTCTCTAGCTGAACTCCAAGTACCCAGTCTTCCAACACACCTCCCTCACCCTCGCCCCTACCCTGTGCGCATCCAGATAGGTACACGGCAGACTTAGATTTGTTCCCGAGGACCTCAACCTTTAACCTCCTGCCGTTAAAGGTTGCCGGAGGTGAATGACCCATATAAGACGTTCCCGAGGACCTCAACGTTTTAACCTCCTGCCGTTAAAGGTTGCCGGAGGTGAATGACCCATATAAGACGTTTTGGAAGGGCAGAGAACCTCTGTGGGTGAATTCTGAAGGCCACCTGTGGTTGTGGCCAGCAAGCCAGGGAAAAAGCAGCTAGGGCAGATTCAGACACTGGACAGGAGGATTTCTGATTTGGGGTATTTTGTGACTGTGATGCCCATCAATTTGGCGGTGGGGGTGGTGGTGATGGACAATTTGAAAGGAAGGACTGAGAAAAAGACGCAATTTCGGCTCGCTTCTTGGGTGATAGTTATCTGTCAGTCATCCCCTTTCTGGGATACTGTTGGCTCCTTCTTTATGCTTTCTGCGCTGGCCTCTGACAGTCCTGAGAGGTCCAGCAAGAAGGGCATCTGTGAGAGTGCGTATGCGTGTCCACATGTTAATAACAACGTCATTGTCCCTACTGGGAGAAGATTGAGCCTCATTGAGGCTTTTTTAAGGTTTCCTCTCACATGGAACATTTTCACATTCTAAGTTTGCGGTTCTGGTGGCATCGCAAGGCCAAGCTGCCACCGTTTGCTGTCGCTGGTACTTTGTTCACCTCCTTTAATGAGGTTACTGCCACAACAGCATCAGTTTAAACCAAATGAGTATGATATTCCAGACTTACACTGTGGCTCTCAGTGATATGCTGTCTTACTTTGGAGCAGATCTCTGTGCATTTGGAGCAAATGCAGGGTTCTCTTCTGCCGGCCATAAAAGATGCTCTAAGAATCTGCATATGCGTCTGGCCATTTAACGAGATAGCATAGGACAATTAGTTACCTTTCTCTCTGTCTCTCTCTGTCTCTGTCTTTCTCTGTCTCTGTCTCACTGCCTCTCTCTCTCTCTCTCTCTCTGCCTCTCTCTCTCTCTCTCTCTCTGTGTGTGTGTGTGTGTGATCTCCTAATCGGATTGTAGTTTCTTGGAGACAGTGCTGTGCCAGTGCTTTTGTGTATTCTGAATAGGACCCAGTGTTTGCCCCTTTAATTGCAAAGGTGCTCAGTGAATTCAGGCAGGCAGTGTGGAAATGGTGCTGTGGCCTCAGGACATGGTGTTGTGTATGAAAGTAGGTTTGTTAGGATTCCTACTTCATTTCCACCTTATTCACTGTGGGATCAGAGAACACAACATTTCCAAAATTTTCCTCATCGTAAAAACAATAGTATTTAAACAAAAATATTGTAAAACCAATAATATTTGAATGCTCACTGTCTGCCAAGTGCTGAGGTAACTATTTGTATACATTAGCTGTTTCAATCCTTCTAGTGGATCTTCTAAGAGATCAGTACTGTTATTATTCCTACCTTACAGATGAGGAAACTGAGCCTTAGGGACTGAAATAATCCACTCACTGTTACACAGCTGGCTAAATGGTGGAGTCGAGATTTGAACCAAGCAGTCTGATTCTTAGAGGTCTACCTCGATATTTGTTTTCTCCCTGAACTACTTAAGGTAAAGAAATGAAAATCTTAAATAGTCTTTAAGATAACTAATTCCCTGCCCGGAGCTAGCCAGGCAGGGAATTAGTTATCTTAAAGAAGGAGAAAACATGAAACCACTATTCTTTCCAGAGAGTAATTTAAAAAAGAGAATAATATTAATATCCCCAGAGGAGTAATTAAAAAGTACTTATGAAACAAGTAGATGAAATGTCAGACTGTAAAGTTCAAACAGTTGTCAAGTTAAATCTTCTTGCACAGGTCATTTTGAATGATACAGTAAACCATAGCAATTAACCTTTGGCTTCTCCTTGGATGTCAGCTGATGATGTAACTCTATAATGTATGCGCTTGTTTATTGAACATGGTTCTTGCATGATTTACCCTGAAGGTCTCTGAACTCTCTGTTAAAAAAAAAAAAAGGCAACAGTCTCTTGGCATTGTCTCTTTTTCTGTCTGTAGAATAGAGTTATTGAAAAATTATAGTTTTGTTTTTGTTTTTAATATGTAAACTGCAATTTAGTAGTGGTGGATAGGAGAACTATGCTATGCCAATAAACTTATCAGATACCTCAAAAATTATACTCATTGTTCCTTCAAGTACTTTTTAATGGGCCTCAGCATATGCTGTAGATATACATTTTCCAACTGAGTAATTATACTTTTGCATCGATTGTGCTTGTACAACAAATGGATAGAGTGTTCTGGAAATAAGGCCAGTGGTGAAATACTTCATTTTACAGAGGATTAAGTATCTTGTCACTTGCCCCCTCCACGCCCCATAACTTTCTTATAAAATATTTCAATGAAGCAGAGAGGTAGCTGTAAAATGAAGAATTTAAACCTGGTGACCACAGCCAGCCTAGCTCATATCGCCTCCCTGCATCATCATTGGTGTGGTTTATAAAACCTCTTTACACAGTCGTGGGTTGCGTGCAGACAAGTAAAGCAGAGAGTCCCTTGGAGTATGGGTTTTCATCATCTGCCAGACTGAATCACATTCTTGTGGGCCTTCTGCATATCAGAATTACAGTTATAATGACTCACAATTTAAAATTCCATTTACCGCTAAGTTCTCCAGCACCACAGAGCATCCCACCACTGTCCGATTGTGATTAACAAAAGGACCCATATAAACCATGTGTTTCTTATCATGTGCCTTAGTAGTATTTAAACAAAGCAGATGGTGTCCAATTAGTGTCTGTAACATTAAGGTGAGTTGGGAAGGAACAGGGTCCACTTTATTGGCTCTGTTTTGAAGGTACAATGAGAGGGGCCTGGAGGGGGCTTAATACAAACATGAGTGGGAGTTGATTAAAGAAGGGGCCAAGAGCGGGTAGAGATAACCCAATTCTTGTTAACCCGACTTTACTTTCCTATGGATTGATGTCTTCCTCTCTGGGATTCAGTGATGGATCCTCCTCTCATCCCCTGCTATATTGTAGCTGTTAAGGCGAAGTGAGTGATTAAGAAGAAATAAAGAGTACAGTTTATCTATTAAGTTTAGCTTTTAAAGTGGTGAATAGATTGTGGTTGTTTGGGGAGGTATTTAGACTTTGGTACAGCACTCTTCTTCCACTGGCTGTGACTCTGGTTTAGATTCTAGCATAAGAGAGCATTAGCACAGTCCCATTCATTACAGGGCTACCTCTGTGTTTCATACTAAATATCGCTGTGTTCACACTCTCTTTAATGAAGCTGCACTAGGTTTGGAGGGAGATGATGACATTGGATGGAATGTTTGGGTGTCGTTGATGCTCGCCACTAATGATAATGAGTGGTTATTTATCAGGAAGATGTATTACTGTCGTTTATCATGCTAGGAGCCCTGACGAGCTACACTGATGCATAATGAAAGAGGATATATAGTTCATCTCTGGGTGACACTGTGGGGGCGAGGACAGATACGCGTCACAAGACAAGTGCTCTTTTAAGATGATTTCTAAAGGAAGGGAGAAAAGAGAAGTAAGGCTATGATTTCGGAAATAGCTCAAACTTGGAGTTTATAATATTTAGAAGAGCCCAGCTGTGGCAGATCATGGGCTATCCTGTGGACTAGGGACCCATGGGAGAGCAGGTTAATGACTAGTATGAGGCTACTTCACCACACAGACATTTCTCGTCCTTGGTTCTTTATGAAACTGTCTTCCATGTATGTACATTGTTTATTTCCTATTCAGCAGAGTTATATTTTCTGTCTCTACCATCTTGTGTGATAATGAGCCATAAAGCAAGAGGGCAGTAAGGAGAGCAGGATGCCTTTGGAGGGGCCAGAGTTGATGAATGGTCTGGGTAGATGTGATCTGTAAAGCCACAGACCCTGATTGACCCATGAAGGATCCAATGTGTACCACTCACTGCATTTCCTTGATTCTAGAATGCCATCTGTTGTAAGAGAGATTTAAGAACATGTTTTTAGGAGAAAAAGGAAACTTGTACATAATAGAAGCACTAAAACATCAAAAGAAGAAAACAATGTGTGTGTTAGCATTAAAGAAAAGTCATACTGTCCCCATTGGCACTTATACTACTTGACCTGGTCAGATCACTTTTATGGGCTCCACTTTAGGTCAAACTGTGAAAGACATAAAGTTGATTTTCAGATGTCTGTTGTATTTACACTTTCATTATTTAGTAAGTTTTTCTAAGTTACAAATGTATGCTAAGTCCTGGGCCTGCCATTGGCCATCCCAAGATCAACATGGAACTTCTGCCAGAGGACCATCTTGAGCAAAGACTTGGACATAGGAATCCACAAGCATTTTTGGGAACCGATTAGTAACTAGTGACTTAGAGGGGAGAATTATACAGCAGAGGGCTGAGAGATAATGTTAGAGAGTAGGCTGGGAATAGATTGTGAAGAACCTTGAACGCGGAACTATAAGGGGTTAAAATTTATCCTTTCGGCAGCAAGGAGCCATTTAAAGTTTTTAAACAAAGAGGATGATATAATGAAAAACAAATCAAAAGAAAAGCATATTTCTTGTGAGGAAGGACAGAATATGATTTATCCTAGAAGATGAGTCTTCCTTCGCTACAGTGAGACTTCCATCAGATAAACTTAGTAAGACTTGAACATATGTGTGGGATATACCTTCCTTTCCCTCTTCATCACCACCCTGTCTCTGGTTCTATGAAAGAGTAGACAAGAGAATGTAGGTGCCTCAGAGCAGGCAATAGAAGTTTCAGCCAGATGAGAATTGTGGATCACTGAGATTTTTGGACTATGATGAAACAGAGCAAAGTTGCTAAAACCTTTCAGCTTGGAAGAG